CACATCACTCACTGAGGATCCACGGCACCGCCCACGTCGCAGTCACAGGGACGGCAGCCGAGCGTGTCGTGGCTCAGGCCCCAGTGGCCAGGCTGGGGGAGAGGAGGTTGCTGGGGCCACAAACAGACCTCCTCGCCACCCACCAGGATTCCAGTGATGGCTCAGCCCCTATCCTTGCCTCCCCGACCTGCCTCTTAGCCAGGACAGGACCGTCAGCTCTCAACACCCGCGTGGGGCCTGGACACCACCCCTGCACCCTTGCTCTGCGGCCGAGAGCTGAGCCCCGACCCCGCCCCTCAGGCGCACCAGGCAGCGGGTGCAGCCGTGTCCGGTCACCAGGCGCTTGCAGAAACAGGTTCCAGTCTTGGAGTCACACGGGGTGCCCCCAGGCACCGTGCCCCGGGCATCGCACTGACACCCTGCAGGGGAAGGAGACCCGTCAGCACTCTGGGGAGCTGGGGAGCACTGTGTTCAGGGGGTCAAGAGTCAGAGGTCAAGGGTTAAGGCCAGCATGAGCAGAGCGGGTAGCACGTACGCTGGCAGCCCATGGGGTCGCTGGCACTGAGCCCGAAGTAGCCGTCACGGCACTGCTGGCAGCGGGGGCCCACCACGTGGTCTTTGCAGCGACACTGGCCCGAGACCAGCCCGAGAGCAGGGTCGTCGTGGGGATCACAGCGCCCGCCGTCTCGGGAGCCCATGGGGTCACAATCACAGGCTGAGGGCACAGGAGGGCCAGGTCACCCCCGCCAAACCAGCCCAGCACCCGTCATCTCCCACCTCCCGGCCCGCCCCCCGATTCCCAGTCTGGCTTCACCCTAGGCGCCCCCATCCCTGCCACCTGACAGCGGTCCAGCTCCCCAGCTCCCACCCCGCTCAGGTCCCGGCCTCCCCGCTCAGGCCCAGCCTCCCCGCTCAGGCCCAGCCTCACGGCGGCAGGCGGCCGGGTCCCGCAGGTCCTTGGCGGGGTCCCGGTAGAAGAAGGGCCGGCAGAGCTCACAGTGGTGCCCAGCGGTGTTGTGCTGACATCCGTCGCACACGCCTCCACTCACGTTGCCAGATGCCAGGTACACGGCCATGTCAAAGTGGCAGCTGCGGGTGTGCCCATGGCACTCGCACTCTTGGGAGAGGGAGGAGAGGGCAGGCCTCTTGAGGGACCATGTCCCACGTGTGAGGGGCAGAAGAGGCCCTAGTGCCACCTCCGGTCCCTCCCAAGGCCAGGGGCTGAGGAACACCACACTGGGCCCCTGCCCAGAGCAGATGGTCAGGGGGGCGAGGGAGGTCTCAGGGCATCGGGGCCCGGGTGCCTTCGGACACAGCCTGGGCGTTCCGGGCTTGCCCGTCAGCTCTGGGGTCTACCAGGCACAGCGGCCAGGCTTTCACTCACTCTTGCAGGCATGACTGTGGCCATCCTCGGCTGGACGCCAGGGCAGGTCATGATAGAAATCCTGGCACTGCTCACAGTTGAGGCCGCGCGTATTGTGTTTGCAGGTGCAGGCGCCATGGACCTAGGAGGGAGGCCGGGCACGCGGTCAGCACTGTCCAGCCGTGCCCGCAGCTGCCCTGCCCCCCGCCCCGCCCCCAGCCAGCGGAGCCCCTCACCATGCCCTCCGTGTGGGCCTGTGCCCCTGGGGCGGGCGCACACTGCGAGGCGTGTCCGTAGCAGAAGCAGTTGCCGCGCACAACCAGCTCGTAGAGGGCGTAGTAGTACTTCTCCCGGATCTCGCGCCGCGGATCCAGCAGGTTGTCGCCCAGCGTGTGCAGCCGTGTCAGGTTCACCCGCAGGTTGGTGATCTTCAGCAGGTCTGAGTGGGGAAGGGCGGGGCCAGCTGGCCAGGCAGGCTTCCCCAGGGGCGGCAGCCAAGGTCACCTTGGGAGACCTCCTGTCTGCTGTGCTAGGAGCTAAATCTGACCTGGCACCTGCCCTCGGAAGCGCCCAAAATAGCTACCGAGGCCCCAAATAGCCCCCAGCCAGACACTCACTCTGGATCCGCGGGCTGTAGGGGTCTGGGATGGGGATGGCAGGGTCCAGCACTCGGTAGATGACCTGGAGGGGCGTGGAGTCAGCAGAGGCCGGACCTGCCCCCAGACCCGTCCCCCTCCCGGTGCCAGCCGGACCCCCACACCTCGCCTTCGGTGGATGGCTCGATCTCCGCGTAGCGTGACTCACAGACGACGTCATCCCAGTGCCGTGGGGGGGCCAGCGGGACGCCCGGGAAGTCGGCTGCACAGTCATAGGAGAAATACCGGTACACGTGCCAGGTGCGTCCGAAGTCTGCTGAGCGCTCCACCAGCATGGCGGCCGGGCGGAACGTCTGGGGGCGGGGATGGCTGATCAGAGGGCCCCAGGACCCGGGTCCAGCCCAGGCCCATCAGGAGCTCTGCCCGACTGGGCCCTGCCCTCAAGCAGCCCACAGATGGGTGGGGAAGACCAGCGGGAGCCACGCAACGACCAGGGAGGGTAACCACCTCGAGGGGGTCGGCTCAGGGGCCGTGGGGCCCAAGGAGGCAGCGCCAGGCCCAGCCTGGGGTCAGGGCAGCATGGCGGTGGAAGGCAATGGAAGGTATGAGAAGAAGGCGCCTCCCACGCGGCCAGAGCGCAGCATCTGAGCTCAGGGGGGTGGGGCTGGGGCTGAGGGGCGAAGGCGAGCCAAGCAGGGGCTGGAGCAGGCTCCCAGGCAGGCCGGCACCTTGAAGGTCATGATGAGGTGCGTGAAATGGAACTCAGCCTCCAAGTCCAGCTGGATGGTGACCGCAGGGACACCTGGGGCAGGAGGCGGAGGTCAGGGGCCAAGGCCACTGGTGGGCAGCCCTGCAGGCCCGTGCCCGCCCGTGGCCTGGCGGAGTAGGGCCGCCGGGAGTCACACAGGAAGCACTTCTTCTCGTCCTGGGTGGGGTCAGGGTCAGGGTCAGGGTCTCACCGGTGCCGCCCCACAGGGACTCGGGCCCCAGCCCAACCCCCGCGGGCCCTGCAGGTG